GAGTTTTGTAGGGCTTGTAATGGCGTCTTGCTGGGATTGATGCAGCTAGCGCTCTTTTGGGGATGCATAAGATTACCCGTACATGTACCCCCCATACATTGCTATAGAACTACACCCCGCGTTTGGAGTTGCGTCTTCTATGGTTGGCCTTGCACATGTCTTTATGGGCTTTTTTATAGACGAGCCGTGTATACTGAGGCGGCCGGGAGAATGCGGCCAGAGACGATGGCGAGTCTTGCGACGAACGAGGCGAACCACGAGGAGCTGGTCCAGGCGGAAGCCATCCCGAGCTTGGTTGGCGTGCTTACCACTGGCACCCCTGACACCCAAGCCTTTGCTGCAGGGACTTTGGAACATCTCGCGATCCGGAAGGAGTGTCAGACAGACATCCTCGCGGCTGGTGCTGTTGAGCCTCTGGTCCTCCTCCTGTCAACTGGCACGGCGAAAGCCAAGGAGAACGCTGCTGGAGCTCTCGGCAACCTAGCGGTGAATGGTGACAAGATAAGCTGGGAATGCTGATTCGGTGCACTGCCGCGAACTTTCCCGCGACTGCCGTGCAGCCGGGTCAATTACGATCCACTTTGTACCTGTCCGTTGAACCTCTGCATGCTGGTGCCGGGTCGATTAAGATCCACTCTGTACCTGTCCGTAGAAACTCTGCATGCTGGTGAAAAGGCCAGCATGCCTGCGCACCTGCTTTGCTGCATTGCTCCCTTGCTCCGTGATGCAATCCTGTCGTTGCCTAGGCTTCTGTATCAAAAATCCAAGCCCTAAATTCTGACATGACTTCGCCAGTCGAGACTCTGCAGGTGGTCTCTCTTTCTCTATTGAAAGGCCCCTGCTAAGCAGGTCATTCCCTAGAATCGGTGCCCAGTTCCGTGGCAGCAGGCAGTTTACGAGACATCCTGCCGGGTAAACCCGCATGGCTGCAGGCTGCGAGGCGCTTCCGCCGTCAGAAAAAGCCATGCTGCCCCGCAGAGGTTAGCGGTTCCGCGGTTGAGGGCTTCAGGTTTCACTCTAGTTATCTGTCTGTCTTATTATATTTATACCTACCTCTGTATATCTCACTATCCACCCATCTACCTATCTATATCTGTAGCATGTAGGACTGGCTTCCATGTAAGCTTCCTGTGAGAGATTCCTGGCAGCTGGAGGTTCGTACAGCCTCGAGTCGAGGCAGCCACATGCGACGGGCCTTGGTATAAGAATGTCTACTGGCAGTCCCAACTATAATCGCGATAATCGTACGCCAGTGTGCCCGTCTTAAACCCTATATTCGGATTAATCCCTTCCCCCTTTTATTAAATGCCCCCCTAAGAATAAAAATACATTGACCCAAATCCACCCAAAATTATACCTCCCCTTTAAAACCCATTTTGAATTAGGGGGTGGCAATCATCACATCACCCTCACCATCACCAT